TAAGGTTACGGGTTTAATTGTTAAGGTTACGGGTTTGTTGTTAAGGTTACGGGTCGGTTATTAAGGTTACGGGTTGGTTGTGAAGGTTACGGGTTTAATTGTTAAGGTTATGGGTTTAATTGTTAAGGTTACGAGTTTAATTGTTAAGCTTACATGCTTGTTGTTAAGGTTACGGGTTGGTTGTTAAGGTTATGGGTCGATTGTTAAGGTTACGGGTCGGTTGTTAAGGTTACGGGTTGGTTGTGAAGGTTATACGTTAGGATATATATGTATATATATTTTGAGTGGAATGAATACTTTGGGTCACTTGGCCTAGTGGTAAAGTTTGGGAGTTTGGACAAGAGGTTAGGGGTTCAACCCCCTCCAGCCATAATATTTTTAGAATATTCGTTGTTAATGATAATAGTTGATTGTGAAGGTTACAGGTAGGTTACGGGTTTGTTGTTAAGGATATGTGTTGGTTGTGAATGTTATGCTTTGGTTGTGAAGTTAACCTACACAACAAACCTGTAATCTTAACAACAAACCCATAACTCTAACAACCAACTCGTAACATTCACAACCAACCCGTAACATTAACAACCGATCCGCAACCTTAACAACCGACCCATAACCTTAACAACAAACTCGTAACTTTAATAATTAAATCCGTAACCTTAACAATTAAACCTGTAACCTTCACAACCAACCCGTAAACTTAACAACCGAACCGTAACCTTAACAACAATCGACCTGTAACCTTAACAATTAAACCCGTAACCTTAACAATTAAACCCATAACCTTAACAATCTCCCAATACAAACAAAAACAATTAGTTTTCTCATCAACAACGAAAATAATAAAAAACAAAAATAATGAAATAACAAGGAAAATGATTTAAGGACCCAAAATATGGGACCAAGGGAGGGGACAGGTGAGGTGTCCCCTCCCTATTGCATAATGAGTTGGCTATGCCAACTCATGCCAACTCGTTATGCAATAGAGAGGGGACACCTCACTTGTCCCCTCCCTTGGTCCCATATTTTGGGTCCCCGTAGCAGCACTCAAATAACAATCCCCTTCAATCATTTCAACATAATCATAGTAACATCATGATAAAGAGAGAGAGAGAGAGAGAGAGAGAGAGAGAAGGGATCCATAACCTTAACAATTGACCCGTAACCTAACAATTAACTCGTAACCTTAACAATTAACCCGTAACTTTAACAATATCCCAATACAAATAGTTAGTTTCCCTAGTCAACAACGAAAATAATAAAATAATCCCCATCAATCATTTCAACTATCATCTCAGTACATCATGATAAAGAGAGAGAGAGAGAGAGAGAGAGAGAGAGAGAGAGAGAGAGAGAGAAGAGTATTATGGTCTTCACATATTTTAATCTATTGGGTTTTGTGTTTTGGGGGCTCAGAGAACAAAATCTTTATTTTTGGAGGCAAAGCACATGTTGACAAAGTATTGGGGGGGCATGTTTTCTTGGGTTTTGGGGGCTGGAAATATTTTTCCCTATTATAAAAGCACTATGGAAGAACCATAGCTAACTTATGAGCATGCTAATTTTTCTCGTTAAATTAATATAACTGTTGAGTTTGGATTTTAATTGTCACTAAGAAGAAGAATTGTGTTAAATGATCATTAGACTATTGATTACGAATTTTAATTAAGATGAGTATCATAGTTTGGTTCATGGGAGATTACTATATGATATATTGAAACCCGATCCTATTCTCAGGCGTCTTATTAGCATATATTCTTGTGTATAGATATTATTTGGTATCCTTGACCGAATAATATGTTGATTTTGTGAATATGATTTGTTTCCTATTTTACGGGATTTGTTTAGGAGATTTTGTGAGGTTTTTCCTAATTTATAGCTTTGTAATGTGGTATAAATGGGGGGACCCTGATTGAATGAGAGAAATAGAGAAAATTCCCCAAATCTCTTGTTCTTACTTTATGGTATCAGAGCAACAGGTCTAATTTCTTCTGCATTTTTTTTTTCTTTCTTTCTCTTGTTCGATCATGGGAGATGACGACAAGAGCAGTGGCGCCACCAACGTCAATCCGATATACACGCTTTCTTCGCAAGATGGCACGGGGGCGAAAATTACTCATGTAGTCCTCACTGGGCCAAATTACGAAGAATGGGCGAAGGGTTTCCGGGTTGCGTTAGGGGCAAAGCGGAAATTGGGGTTCATTGATGGAACTCTCAAGCGAAAACCGGCTAATCCCAAAGAATGGGATGATTGGACGGCTATCAATTACTCGGTTATTGCGTGGATTTTCAACACTATCGAACCTCGTGTTCGGTCCACCATTTCGTATCGAGAGACTGCCTATGACTTGTGGGAGGATATTCGCTCTCGTTTTTCGGTCGGTAACGATGTTAAAATCTATCAAATACAATGTGGTCTTGCCGAATGTAAGCAACAGACCAATGAAACTGTGATGGACTACTATGGTAGACTGAAGAAATTGTGGGACGACATTGAAGACTATGACCCGTTGCCGAGTTGTGAGTGCTCTAGTTGTCCCGTAACTCTTCGCAACCGTCGCGAGGCTGATAAGGTACGAGGTTTTCTTATGGGGCTTGAACCGTTTTATGCTACTGTGCGTTCTAACATCCTAGGCACCAAGCCCCTACCCTCGATGCAATTAGTTTATTCTCGTCTTGTGCAAGAAGAGGAGGTTCGTAACATGACCCAAGCTCGGGTTGACATGGCTCCAATGGCCTTTTCTGTACGTGACAGTAGTGGCAGAAAGCAGCCCGGGACTGGTTCACGCTCTAGGTTCACTTGTACCTATTGCAATAAGGATGGGCACACTGAAAGTCGTTGCTGGGCGAAACATGGCTATCCCTCGGACCGTGATCCACGCCGTTCTCGGGAGGCCTCTACATCTACTGCTCCTCCTAAAGTGAATGCTATTCTTGATGAGCCACAGGTTGCTACTAACATGGTGCGCTTGAGCGGTAAGAAAAATTTTACATGGATTGTCGACACCGGTGCGTCGGCACATGTTTGTTGTGATAAACGATTATTTGCTACATATCACTCCATTACCCCCATTAAAATCGGTTTGCCAAACGGATCACGGTTCGAGGGATAGCCATGTTTCGCCCAGCAACGACTTTCAGTGTGCCCATCCTTATTGCAATAGGTACAAGTGAACCTAGAGCGTGAACCAGTCCCGGGCTGCTTTCTGCCACTACTGTCACGTACAGAAAAGGCCATTGGAGCCATGTCAACCCGAGCTTGGGTCATGTTACGAACCTCCTCTTCTTGCACAAGACGAGAATAAACTAATTGCATCGAGGGTAGGGGCTTGGTGCCTAGGATGTTAGAACGCACAGTAGCATAAAACGGTTCAAGCCCCATAAGAAAACCGCGTACCTTATCAGCCTCGCGACGGTTGCGGAGAGTTACGGGACAACTAGAGCACTCACAACTCGGCAACGGGTCATAGTCTTCAATGTCGTCCCACAATTTCTTCAGTCTACCATAGTAGTCCATCACAGTTTCATTGGTCTGTTGCTTACATTCGGCAAGACCACATTGTATTTGATAGATTTTAACATCGTTACCAACCGAAAAACGAGAGCGAATATCCTCCCACAAGTCATAGGCAGTCTCTCGATACGAAATGGTGGACCGAACACGAGGTTCGATAGTGTTGAAAATCCACGCAATAACCGAGTAATTGACAGTCGTCCAATCATCCCATTCTTTGGGATTAGCCGGTTTCCGCTTGAGAGTTCCATCAATGAACCCTAATTTCCGCTTTGTCCCAACGCACATAATCCTTATGACGAGTATTGTCGCGTTTTACCCGGTGACCACGACCCAATTCTTCACCCTCCTCCATGTTAACCGTATTCTCAGCACTCTCATCAGGCATATCTATGGGAACGTTGCCATCACTATCATCTCGTGCAATGTCACACTCAGCGGGTATGGTGCCATGAGGAATCGTGTCCACGGGCTGTTCACTAGCCGTCTCCACTGTGTCAGCCTCATTAGCATCTTCAAGACCTACTGCATTATCAGTAACATGCTCGACAAAATCATCACTCCCATCATTCCCCCCCTCGACATCAAAGACATCCTGTGTAATGGAGGAGTCAACTGCCAAAGACGAATCAGGCTTGCTGATTGTGACAGGTTCAGCAAAGGGGAACTGATTTTCGATAAAACGGACATCCCGAGATTGGAAATAAATACCCGTTTCTAGATCATACAAGTGCCAACCCTTCTTACCAAAGGGATAACCAAGAAAAATACAACGACGACTTCGGGAATCAAATTTATCAGACGGATGAATATTTTTAGCATAACATAAACATCCGAAAACCCGAACCAAACTCATGTCAGGAACTTGGTGAAAAAGTAACTCAAAAGGTGTTTTATTCTCCAAAACACGAGAGGGAGTACGGTTGATCAAATAAGCCGCGGTCAAAACACACTCGCCCCAAAAATCAAGAGGTAAAGAACTTTGAAATCGGAGCGCGCGAGCAACGTTTAAAATATGGCGATGTTTACGCTCAACTCGAGCATTTTGTTGGGGTGTTTTCACCATTGAGGTTTGGTGAATGATCCCATGTTCACGAAAATACGGTAAAAGCCCACGAAACTCCGTGCCATTATCACTTCTCAAAATTTTCACATGACAATTAAACTGACGAGCAATAAGCGAGAAAAATTCACGAAGAAGGCGGGGGACCTCATCCTTAGTTTTCATCAAATAGACCCAAACACAGCGAGAAAAATCATCCACAATAGACAGAAAATATCGAGAGTCACACGCACGATTGGGTTGATACGGTCCCCACACATCACAATGAATTAAATCAAACAATTGTGCAGCTTTATTATTACTTAACGGAAAGGGATTACGAGTCTGTTTTGCCCGAAAACAAATGTCACAAGGATCAAGAACAAAATTACGGGAAATAGAAGGTAAATGCTCCATTGCCTGAGAAGAAGGATGCCCCATCCGTCTATGCCACAACTCAACATCGTCCTTGGAGGTAACGATATTCACACGAATTGGTTCCTTCATAGTCAGGTGACTGAGACAGGATTGCTTGGTTCCAAGCCTGCTAGTGTACCCATTGAGGAAAATCACCATTTGGCGCTGTCTTTGGAACCAATATTTAGTGAGCCTACACGATATCGTCGGTTGGTGGGCAAATTAATTTATCTTACTCTTACTCGACCAGAGCTTAACTACTCCGTGCACATTCTCGCTCAGTTCATGCAGAATCCCTCGCAAGCACACTGGGACGCAGTTATGCGGGTTCTTCGTTATCTTAAGGGCAATCCAGGTCAGGGTATTTATCTTCGTGCCAATGCTTCTATGACACTTGAGGCTTACTGTGATGCTGATTGGGCAAGTTGTCCCATAAGTCGTCGTTCACTCACCGCATATTTTGTATTTCTTGGTGGTTCGCCTATTTCTTGGAAAACAAAGAAGCAGGATACTGTGTCTCGTTCTTCTGCTGAAGCAGAATATCGTGCAATGGCTTCCGCTACAAGTGAGATTATTTGGTTGAAAGGTCTGCTTCGGAGTTTGGGCATTGACCATCCATCGGTTGTCCCACTTCATTGTGACAGTCAAGCCGCACTTCATATTGCTAATAATCCAGTTTTTCATGAACGCACCAAACATATTGAGATAGATTGTCACTTTGTTCGCGATGAGATCGTGCGAGGCACTATTGCGCCATCATATGTGAATACTGCATTTCAGCTAGCTGATATTCTTACAAAGGCTCTTGGGCGATCTCAATTTCATTGTTTGCTAGACAAGTTGGGCATTTCTCGATTACATGCTCCAACTTGAGGGGGGGTATTAGCATATATTCTTGTGTATATATATTATTTGGTATCCTTGACCGAATAATATGTTGATTTTGTGAATATGATTTGTTTCCTATTTTACGGGATTTGTTTAGGAGATTTTGTGAGGTTTTTCCTAATTTATAGCTTTGTAATGTGGTATAAATGGGGGGACCCTGATTGAATGAGAGAAATAGAGAAAATTCCCCAAATCTCTTGTTCTTACTTTACGTCTTTTGTTTAAGTTGCCCCATTCATCAATTTTGATGAATAATATGGTCCTAATTGATCAATGTTTTGATCATGAGACTGATATCTATTTTGCTGAGCATAAAAATTTACAAATGATGTCACACCTGTGTCATGGAATCACATGACGAGCACGTGACTAGGCTAAGCAGCACATGCACTCTAGCCAAACTCCACTCAAATACATATACTTAAGCCTATATGATAAATCAATGCATGCATCTTAACAACCATAACCAAAACAGAATCACAGAATCATACATCTAATATCTAACACTATTCTTTAAGTGGGAACGGTGTTAAAACTTTTCCCCATAATACCCTCGACAAAATATTATTTGACAACTATAATCACATCTTTCATCAATATATCTAATACTATTGCTTGTATATCACACTCCCTTTAAAAGTACAAGTTTGGAAAAATATTTTCATGGTCAATATTACCCTTTACTTTTTTTTGAATATTACATTGTTATCCTAATCTATTTTAATTATCCTATCTTCTTTTAATTAGTAATTAAATAATTTATCCTATTCATAATGATATTTAACATGTTATTGGATAAAAGAGATATGTTTGATATAATTCAAATTATTTACTTATTTCAGTTTGCAGATAAATCTAAAAAAACATATGCTAGTTAGCACCTAAAAATTTTTGGACTTTGTAAAAGATATCCTTCAAGTTTTTTAAATTGTAAAAACACCCCTACAAATTCAAAATTTTATTAAAACACATTAAAGATTATAAATTTTACTTATTTTAATTTAGTGAGAAATCTAAAAAAAATATATCCTAGCAAGAAACTAAATGTTTTTTTACTTTGGAGAAAATATCTTGTAAGTTTTGAAAATTACAAAAACACTACTAAAAATCAAAATTTGTAAAAAAAATACCTTGAAAATTTCAGACCTATAAACACACTAAAAACCTACGAATAACATAAACAAACCCCAAAAATTTATAAAATTTAAAATAAACACTCTAAACTTTTTACAAATTACAAATTAAAATCCTTAAAATTATAAAATTATAAAAATACTAGCAATTTCCAACCTAACAGGACATTAAAAATATAGGAATTGTAAATATCCCCTACATAGTTTATAATTTATAGAAAACACTCTTAAAGTTTTAAAAATTACGAACAAAAACTCAAAATTTAAATTTTACAAAAAAATACCATGAGAATTGCAAACTCATTAGTAAATTAAAAACAAAGGAATTATAAATAGTCTATAAACAATTTACAATATGTAAAAATGGCCTATAAGTTTAAAAAATTACAAAAAAACCCTAAAATTCATAACTATAAAAAAAAAACACTATGAGAATTTCTAATCTGTAGACACTAAAATGAATATACAAACTTACTAACAACCCCTAGAAATTTAAAAATTTATAAAATATATCATACTCCCTTTAAAAGTACAGGTTTAGGAAATACTTTTCATGGTTAATATTAGCCATAACTTTTTTGAAAAGAATATAAATAATTAAAATTTATTAAATTTAAAATTTAGAAAAAACACCCTTAAAGTTTAGTACATTGCAAATTATCATTCTAAAGTTTGAAAATTTTTAATATTTTTTTTGCAATTTCTTGATTTCAATGTAATGTTTAATAGTTTTGTATATTTATAAATTAAAAAATTTTAGGGTGTTTTTTATATTTTTAAACCTTTGAGGGTGTTTTTTTGTAGTTTTTGAAATTTTCATTGTGTTTTCAGTGTAATGCATGGATTCATCAATTAATAATGACAATGAAGAGTAAGTCATTCTTAAGATGTATTAGGTCATAGTTAAGTGCACATCACTTTTCCTAATTAGTATAGTTTATATATGCAAATATTTTCAGACAATCTATATAGTCGTTAAAAGGATTTTGACTTTAATGTACTATTTTTTATAAATTATATTTAATGTGAACCCACCCTATAATTTTGACTGTAGAAATTATAATTTTAATATGTTTGATTGATTGACTAAATAGGTATATAGACCATATATTACTTTACTTTCTCACATGAATTAATATTTGGCGCTTAATAATTTAAATTATTACTTTTAAATTTAATATAAAGAGAAGCTCTAATAATATTTATTTATTTACCCACAGGATTATACAATCTCAATTCCTATTTTTTACATGAGATCTATTCCATAGTTATGTGTATCAAAATAGCAACTACAATGTAAAGTTGACCAATTTTGTGGAACCAACTACTAGATACAAGCATTGAGATTTCCCCACACACACATCTAATATATATATATATTATATATATATATATATATATATATATTATATATATATATATATATATATATTATATATATATAGAGAGAGAGAGGAGAGAGAGAGAGAAATGTGTATGCTTGGTAGTGAGGTATACTATTTCTATCCACTCATTCTAATTCCCAACTCATGTGAATGCCCCGATTTTAATAAGTGGAGGGGAATATGTTACCTCACTACCAATCACAAAAACTTATGCTTGATACCAAGCATACCATTTTTCTCAATATATATATATATATATATATATATATATTATATTATATATATATAATATATATATATAATTTATTAAAAAGGGTTATATAATCTTATATAATATTAAATAGTAGTATCATTGTAATAATATTGTTATCAGGGGAAATTCTTCATGAACCAGTATGTTCTTTACAATATGTAAGCTATGCACTCTAAATTCTTATCTGTTTCATAGAACCAAAAAGTTTGAATACAAGCCTCTAACATTTTGCTCTCTCAATAGCAAAATCCACTTAGCAGATGTGGATATTCAAGAAGAGTTATATGTCCTATATACAATACAATTGTCCTAGGCAAGTAAGTTATAATAGCATTTTTTATTCACATTATTTGAATCAATATATGATAGGGACATTGCATCAATGAAAAAAAGAAATTTTTATGTTTAGAGCACATGGGGAAATATATTAATAATCTCCTTGCTCTAATTTTGCAAGAAAATAATTTTCATACTTTTAATTTTATTTCTATAATACAGAGAATGCTGAACCATACCTTGATGGTATTATTCTTTATAATATTTTTTAAATAATAAAAGTTAATCAATCCTTCAAATATAAGTGTTTCTCCTTAACTACTTCTTTATAATATTTTTAAGGTATTTATAATTTGCAGTTTTACTTCGGTTTGGTAAAAGTTTATTAAAGTTTTACTTCTATCAAACCCACAAAAACTTTGTTTTTTTATTTTTATTCTACTTTATCAATTTAAATAATTATGATATTGATATTCAACCATGTGCATTGTACGTGCATCTCAACTAGTACTATAAATATTGTGAGCACTTCATTATCATTTAGGCCAAAAAGGACAACATATAACTATTTCTCATAGGCCTTTCATTCTCATCTCATCAGTAATATCTTAATTGTCAACAATAACATCCATCTTCGGATGAGTTTTAACCATATCAGTTGTGAACCCCTGGCAAGCTCACTCAAGGCATTAAATTCCCTGCTCATCTAACTCCATAAAATCATGAGTTACAAAAATAGTAGCCAGTACTCTATTCGCATGCTCACTCAATACCATGAGCATTAAATTCCTTGCTCATCCAATTCCATCAAATCATGTCTCCTATAAATTGATCACACCCACATCAAATAGAAAATAGAACTCGGAGAAAAATAGAACAAGGGAAGGAAGAAAATTATCACAGGTTAGTAAAAATTTATATAGTTTATACTATTTTTATAATTTTATCATAGTTGTAACCTCCCCAATTTTGGAAAAAAAATGGAGAGGAGAGCGGAGGAGCCTTCCCATCACCCAGAAGCCTTCTAATTTTCCCTTCCATCAGCCAAACCGCCCACTGCATCCAACAGTCACCCCTCTGCCAAAGCTGCCCACAATGCTACCCATCCGTATTTTCCCGATAGAAGTCGATCGAACTTCCCAAGACCTTTCGCCTCCCTGTTCAAGAACAACCACCAGTCCCATCATCACCTCCCTAACTCCTCCAAGGGTCTCCTCCCTCTCCCTCAATCTTATCATCCCTCATCAGAGTCAAGTTGGACAACAGTGTCTTACCGCAAGAAACCACATCTCAGCCATAAGCCCCCCTTCCTCCTCCTCCTACCATTCCATCCAGGTGCTTCTTCTGTCATAACAGATCCCACATAGCTCGTGATTGTCCTCAAGGTGATTTCATGTGCTTTACCTGTCATGGTAAAAGCCACATTTCCAGAGATTGCCCTCTCAACTCCAGGTCTTCTGCAGCTGTCCCCGTCCTCCTTATTCCAGAGGAGACCTCAGCAATCATCCATGACTTATTCTCCTATGCCATCTTTTACCTAGCGCAAGGATCCCCGTCCATTGCTGAGCTTAGGGAGATGCTTTCCTTCAGATTCAATATTAGAGATTGGTCCTTCTCCATCAAGCGAGCTGCGGGTACTAGCTTTATGGTGTAATTCCCTTCCTTGGATATTCTGGACCAAGCTATTGACCTCAAGCTCATCGTCATGGGCAATTTCTTAGGGAGGTTCCTCCATTGGCGAGAGGACCTCAGCCTCATCACCCTCCCTAAGCCTTTCCTTACCTGGGTGTGCATCTTCAGGCTGCCGTTCCACCTGTAGCAATGGGAGTTTCTTCTCACCCTACTCAAGGATGTAGGGGAATGTGTTATGTGTTCGGAAGATATAGCATTCAGGAGGCATTTTAAGGATTGTAAAGTCCTTATCAAGGTCAGGGACCT